TGATCAATTAGATATTTTGGTTGCCAGTAAGCTGTAAAAATTATTCAAAGTCGCAGGTTTTTGAAGCACGAATACTGCTCTAGCGTCCGCCATTTTGTTTTTGGGATTTTCGCGCATGCGCATGCGTTTTTAAGCCGTGTCAGCCGACATGTAAAAAATCAAAAATGAAGTATTTTCGTTTTTTAATCAGTAATTTTCTTGGTACTTTTGTTTTAAGCTTTCAACTTGTTCTTTGCAACTTTCAGAGTATTTTGCCAACTTCACGATTGCTCTTGCTTTTTTAAAATATRCAGGAATCACAGTGGAGATGGGGGAATGTGGGGAGTGAGGCTTTATATATGCGCMCCCCCTAACTTTTCCCTTTTTCATACTAGCTAGTATCTTACATTTTCAAATCTCACCCCCACCCCACCCACACACACACATACACTTTTCAGGGTGCTCTGCTGTCCTTGATCTATCCTTAAATTTGCAGTTTACAATACAATACATGYCCATTCTGACTAATTAATTATCACTGACAATCATTGAAATCTGAAGCATTTTATTGTTTATATTTTGTGTATACTATATATTACACGTATCGAATAGAACACTTAGTCATTCAGTTCAAATAAATAAAATAAAATAAAATAACTAAATTGAATTTAAATGTAATATTTGTGACAAACAGTTTTGTGGAGTTTTGGATTTCAGTCTTTTGATGTTTTAACCATGATTAGCCATGTGCAATAGCATAAATTACAATATGAAGAATGAGAAATGCAAGGAACGAAATAAAAGGAATATAGTTCTTAGAAGTCCTTCTTTGTTTTCTTGCGCACACGTTTCTCTGTAATGAAAAGTAATACAAAATAATTTTAGTTCATGCAGTCAAAAATCAATTATTGATGACAAATCAACCCCCCCCCCCCTCCTCAAAATAGACACCCTATAAGCATTCACTGGATTGAATTAACTGTATCATGCACATACAGGTCTTTGCAATGCCGGTGAATTAAATATATTTTGATCCCCGGAGGGGTTTGGTCACATAAAAATGCAAACAGCCCTTTAATTATTATCAAGTCTTGCAATAAAAGTTGACATATGTCATAGCTGTAWTCACAAAGACATTACCTTTCAAAATGCCAGGATGTATTTTGTCAAAAAGTTTTGACGACGTTGACACTCTGGTCCGTTTCGCATTCCTGCATCCTACATCGGTTAATGAATAACAATGAATAACAATGCAAGACAAAAAAGTTTGTTTGGGCAATAAGAGTACGTAGGCAATGGGTGATACTGGTCGGCCAAATATTAAATATACATAATTAATAGATATCAATACAAATGCATAATTTACCTTTWTTTCAGAATGCTCTTCAAAATAAATTCCAAGTTAATATATACCTACCTGTTTATTTCTTTATTTCTTTACTTATTTGTCACTCTATTTACCGTATTACTAGAAATTCTGTACAGTCAGCGGATTATATTGCAGGCGCGTTTTTGTCGTGAAACTCCCTTTTACGCATGCGCTTATCAATTTCAAAATGGCGGATGTTACTCGARTGCGAGAAGCAAAAGGCTTTTATTCACAATTGAATTCAGCTAGTTCGGGGGATTTACTTTGGGGAGGGATAAAGAAGAGAAGAAGTGTTAAGAGTTTAGGGATTTTTGCTGTGGAGAGGGTAATTTCAAGAAGGAAAGAAGGATCAAAGGTAAGCGAATTTACATAACTTACTTAATATATTCTATGAAGTTTACTCAAATTTTTAWAGCCGGTTGATGTGAATATCAGTGAATCCTAAACCTTTTCCTCCTGATGTATTGTATCTTTAGACTCAATATTTAATAAAATGGGAGGGGTACAGTAGCTACGAAAACACCTGGGAGGACGAGGAAAACCTTACTGAAGATCTTATCAGGTATGTACCATCTTTGTATAATTATTGGTAGTAATTATAAGCTTAAGCTTAAAATAGTAAGCTTAACATTATGAAATATTTCGGTAGCAATATTACATTTATGTTTTTCTCTGTTTAGAAACTATGAATCACCACACGTAGAGGTATCAAGGCTCCAAAAGAACAGGGACAATCTCAGGGCTGCTTTTGCATCCAAGCTAAAAAGTAGAAACCTGGTCCCAATTACGATTGATTTTGATCATGATTGTTTTCGGGTTTTATTTAATGGGAAGGGTAGAAAATCCAGGGATGGGAAATACATATTAATGGAAAAGAGGGACTTTGATTATTGTAATTGGGAAAATGATTGAGATATAATTTATAATAAGAATTTAGAGGGGTCTAGAATTATATTTCCAATTAAATTAAAGATATATCTTGGAAAATCACCAAAATTATACAAAAGGGGGAAAAATGGTATTGCTAATGTAGCTCAGCAAATGTATATAGAAAAATTAACTTTTGATTTATTGAGGAAACCTTTCTCAGTGATTACAAATGAATTATAAAAGTGAATCCATAACAATATTGTGTAATACCCTTATTTCTTATTGGTTGACTTATCTACATGCACATAGTATTTGTTTACACAATATTGTATACATATAATATATATTTATTTTTTACATTGCAAAAGATATTTTAAGAAGATTACACTTATAAAGATTATGTTTAATATATATGAGTGGCTTTACTTAGCCTAAGGAATAGCTAATAGACATAGACATTATCAAACCTAGATTCTTTTGTATTCTTTATGTCTATTATAAATAGTTGTACAGCAAATATTAGTTTCTGTTTCACCCGTTAAATAAAACCACTCAAAAAAATACTACTTTTCTATAAAAAGAATTATTATTACATAGATTCTATTTTTTATTTTACTATCAATTACCTAAAGCATTCTTAAGTAGCTGTATRWGMTCTRCCTTATTCATTTTGCTTAGACCCTTTATGTTTCTTGATGATAATTCTTGTTTTAATTCTTTGACAGTCAATTTTTCAGGGTTAATATCATTAATATCTGGAACACTCAATTGTGTATTAGAAGCACTAGTTCCACAAACAGTTTCTGGAGAACTCTGATTGATTCTTCTCCTTTTCTGTCTAGTTGTTCTTATATCCGCTTCCCAATAATCACTTTTGTGCTTAGAATAGGATCTTTTATCCCTTTCCCTATCCCTAAGGTGCCATTGCCTATGCTCTTGTTGCAATATATCTGCAACAGCATTCCACTTGTTGGATTTTCTGTGGACTACAGATCTTGCCACATCATTATTTTTTTCTACACCCTGACCTGTGAATATTTTTATTCCTTTGTATAGTTTAAAAAAGTGGGGTATATGAGCAAACATTATGTGCATATAAGGAGTTACCCTTTTACTTTCATACCCATCAAGCTTACCAGAAAGTGAACAAAATTCATCTATCCACTTACCAGCTTGAATTCCAAAAGTAGATGGTAGTGTGTTTGGTTCCCAGTTGTTAATCAAGTTGTATAAACTATTGAAATTCAACCATAACTTACTTACTGCAGAACTAGTATCAGGTCTTAGTACATCATTTAGCTTTTGAGGTAATTGATTGAGAAGGGTTTTTTCTCTGTTCCCATAAGACTTGTCCAGTCATATTTCCCACTGGATGACTGATCAACATTCCGTTTTTCCCAAACATCAAAGGTGATGCCAAGTGACCGTATTGCAGAAATAAGATTTTTTAAATGGATGCCTTTTTCCTCCCCACCTTTTTTGTCCCAGTCATCCTCCCTGTCCCAATCAATTACTTCATTAACAATGTTATTAGTAAGTACATCACTTATGCGTAGCATTAAATGTAGTTCATCAACAATTACATGATCAAGATCAATATTGATTAGTGGTTTATGTTCACAGCAAAAATTATCTTTAGACTTAGTACATGACTCAACAAGCTCTTTGAGTGTTCTAGCCATTGGAGGTTTATTGTGGTAATTAAAATCATTAGTGGTTTTCCATCTTTCATCTTTATGCACCTTGCACCATGCACAGGCATAATGTGAAGTAGCCCCTTTTAAACCAAGCATTAGTAGCAGAAATTTGTAATCACCACCCAGAAAAAACTCTAAGTTAATTGTTTTATCATTAATTGTTAATTTACCAGAAGCAATGAAGCTGTTAATCTCCTCAAAAACAGAGCCAAAAGCCTCTTTTAAGGTGGTATATGATTCAGAAGCACTAACAGCTGCAATTGTTCTGTTACCTTTAGCTGACATGACATTAGCACCAGTTTGTAAAATAGAAAATGAGAGTAAAATAAAATTAGAATTCCTTGTCATCCTAGCTCCATCATCTCTGATTTTCGTAACAGGTTCAGTCTGACCTTTAAATACGTGGAATTTCTTGTTGCACAAATTTAATTTCATTCTTGCCATACCTCTGTTTGACTTGTATTTTTGCACAACGTTTGAGCAAATTTTACGCAAACTTTCATCGATCTCTTTTCTGACATCGTTTTCAGATGAAAAAGAAAAGTGTTGATCTGGAATGGCTTGCTCCAGAAGTGCAACAAAAGGATATTTCGTTGCATATTCCCACTTTCCCTTTTCACTTCCGGTTAGAGTCTCGACTTCCGGTTGAGGTATACCTTGTACGAATTCGTACCAGCTCTTAAAAAGTGGATAAGGTATATCCAAGGCAAAAATTACCTCTCTGGAAGTAGGCTTAGCAGCGTATGCTAAACTCGGCTCGTTTACTTTGATGTTTCGTAGCTCTTGAGCTTGAATTTTACGGAAAACACTAGACATTTTGCAATCCTTCTATAGTTGTAATACGAAATGAGATAAAAATAGGCCTAATGCTAGGTTACTAAGCAGTGGAAGCGTTGAAGCATGGGATACAAAATGGCTGAGCATCAAAACATTTGGTTCTTGATACAAACATGGAGGGATTTCTCACTTCATAGACCTCCGATTGTAAGCGTTCCTTAGCTATATAGCATTTCAAATATTGGACATTTTCATATGCAATTGCGAACAGGATTTTTGAGAGATTTGGAGAAGTTGTTTAGACTTAAAGTAAGCGTTATATATCCATGTTCGAACCCGACGTACGCAAACAGGAAAAGTTGTAACACCGAGCAAGAGGAACGGCGTGTTTCATAGCCTCTAAGACACATTTTCAAGGCTCACACTGTAGAAAGAAGCCGCTAAAGGTAACAATGTTTGTGCTACATTGCGAACACGATTTTTTCTTCGGAATTGTTTGTAATTTTTACTCGTGACTAAGGAAGGTATGTTGTTTACTACTTGCCGTACGCAACTTGGAAATGTTTAAGGGTTTTCTCAATAAAACCGAAAAAACTATACTAATCCTTGAGTTCTCATACATTTCTCTCTMTGTAAAATAATACCTGATATATATTTAAAGTCCTAAAAAGTGATCAGTGCGCATGCTTGGCGGCCATGCTGTACAGAATTTCTAGTAATCAGAATTCAGATGGGAGCTAATTATAAAGCTAGGTAATCATAAAAACGGTTATACTACACCTTGTTCTTTAGATGCAGGGGTAAAATGGATGACAGCTTCTACCTGATGAATATTTTCATCGGGTAGAAGGATCTCATCTGAGGAGAAATTAAACCAACAGAGAAAAGATAGTTTAATAATTAGCAATACTCTCGTGAAGTTCTGTGTACAATAGTTTAGTTCC